GCGGAAATTCAAAAACAGATGGCACGGCTTCACTTTTCAGTACATTAATATTGGGCCTACATAAATAGTCACCATCTTTAAAATGATCACTGCAAATTCTGGAGCTCCTGGTAGGAACAAAATCCTTCCTCTTCACAGCAATAACCCACGTTTTCAGCTTATCTTCGTCATTCAGAGGAACCTGCAAGAGCATATTAGATTATTCATTCAGATTCTCACAAGGTAGGTAAATAACCAAAAACAAACATGATAAGTATAATGCACAGTACGTACTCGAAAACTTGTGTTTTACCAACACACAGCGCCACATGTACTACTATACGCGCAAGTTTTCTTGATATTCCATAGCGGGGGGTGGCGGGAGAGGAAGGATGTGGCTACGTCAGGTTGAAAAGGCGTACCAACTATGGGCAGAACTTAATTCGCCAAATCATGCACTTGAAATGCTACGATTGTTTTGAAAGTACGAGGTGGTTGTTGCCAGCATGTAAATGAGTACGTGCCGTTCCGAGTCAAACCTAAGTATGTCAACGTGCCGTTCAGCGCTGGATGAGGACTAGGGAGCTCGTGTATCAAGAAAACTTGCGGGAGTAATACACAAACTTGCCTGTTTGTCGTTTTTGCCAGTTTTAAAGATGGCGCACCGGCTTCACTTTGGAAGGTCGAGTTAGCAATCTAGGGTAGTTATAACATTTTTGGTATCAATACGGTAGCACAGCTCATCCAATGCCACCTAAAACATCAGGCCTATTGGCAGGCAGACATCTTGCTTCTGACGTCACTACGTGTAGTCATACATTACATTTGTGGTAAAAGTGTGGTCTGCGTGTGAATCAGTGTCCTGTATAGAATTACATGAGAACAGTGTTTCTATCCATTTTATGGTGTAATAATATCTACGCATTAAATTTGTGCGAACAGAACATATTTGTAGCAGAGCAACTTTGATACAGAGTACTTGTAACATATTGTAAAATTCGGGTTATGTGAAATTGCCGGGCACTTCTACATTGAAATCGCCTGAAAATTAAACACCCCGAAAGTAAAGAAAACACCAGAGTATGCGTTATAGTACATAGGAAAGAAATTCAATGTGTCGAATGAAAATGACAAGCTTGTGATACCCTTAATAGATGAAATATTCCGGAAGTCAAATTTAGACTATAAAGGAGGAAGTGTAATTGGAACTGCCTTTAATGAAGAATAAAATTCATCAACAGCTTGTGTGTCCATGGGAACTAGTATGATTTTATCATATAAAGATGTAGTTCATATATATCCGGTCAGAAAATTAAACAGGTAAGTTGCTAAACCATTATGACAATACCATAATGGGCTTGAAAAGATTGGATATGAAGTGATTGCAATGATTTCTGACAACAATCATGTAAACCGAAAAGCAGTGTCTGTTTACGATCCTCCAAAACTAGAAAGAGCTTATGAATATCCATGCGGATTCCACAGAAAATGACTTTTTGTCTTTTGACAGTGTGTACCTCTTGAAGTTCTTACAAAACAACTGGTTAAATCAAGTTATCTAAGAAATTAATTTTCCTAATATGGAAAACAGTGTTATGCATGAGGGATCATTTAGTTGCCTCATTAAGTGCGACTTTTGAGATGCACAATAACTTTAAATATGGCAATACTTTAAATTTAAAAACATTCATTTCTTTTTAGTTAAAAAATAACTGTTAATTGAATGAAATACAGTAAAATGCTGTGAAAATTCCTTCCTGTAAAATATCGTTATTAAAGCGGTCAAGAAGGTAAGTAAACGTTAACTGACAGTGAGCAGCCGGCGAAAGATTAGTTTGCCGCGATGACTGCCCTTGTGACGTCACAGCGTCAGTAGACAGGCCTTAGTGTCAAGGTGGCATTGGCCTATGCCGTTTTTTGGCGATGGATGAGCATGGAGCTAGCGACCCTGGTGGAGGTGAAGTAAAACTATGGTTAGCTGCTTTGGAAATATACAGATAAATTAGTGAAATTGCGTTTATTAAGAGATGGCCAAAACGTATTAGTAATTTGTGTTGTTTCTTGACCTCATGATTGTATATTCCTAGGAGTCATTAAATAACACGTAAAATTACTTCGAAATTACGTTTTAACCCCATGTTTAGTATGTATCGGAACATATCTGATATGCGCCAACTAAATTATTTTACTTTTTCAGTTAACACATTAATAACATCGTGTGTTGAAAGGGGTTACTGTTCTGCAATTAAATGTAGCAATAATGAAGAAAAGAACCCCGAGTTATATTGTTTTGTACGTGTCCAATAGACTTAGAAAAGATAGAAATTTGTTATTACCTTCTAGATACCCTTATTTACTGCTTAAATTACTTACATTTCTAGATTTTCATGAAAAGTACGGAAAAACTTGTCCTTCCTCATGATTCCACTATTTACTTTCAGTGGATAATATTCATAACATTTAAATAATCTCTTTCCTTAGAAAGAAAGTTCTACTTCACATGTTTTAGTTATAAGGATATTTAATATATTAAAGCATTAACTTTTTGGTTAGATTTAGCAGAACGATGCTGTATTACGAATGGTAAGGTGGCGTAGTATAACTTGATCGCCGCGCGAATCGCTGGAGTTGTTGACCAACTCATTGTCGTAGGGCGACGTGTTGGTTAGCGACATCATCGTAACACGGAGCTGCGCTACTGTATAATAGGTTTACTGTGATAATTGGTCATTTCGATTTTTTGGTTAGATGTATCAAGGTGCGATTGTGTGAAGTGATATCGTGATAAATACCGATTTCCCTATTCCCGTCTTCCTATTATTCTTCTCTATACTCCTCATGGTTCTTTTTGCAAGTTTTCTATTTTATTCTTTAATTCTAAATTTTCCTCGTTTCTTGAATCGTCATCAATTTGCTTTATTAAATTATCTTCCTCTTGAACTTTCCTATCAGTGAATATTTCCGTGTTATCAACTTTTGCTTCGACGTTACCTCAACGCGCATTTTGCTGTCGCGTATACGTACACGAAAGCTTTCCGGCAGAAGAAAATTCATTGCCGGGTCCTGATTACGAAAAAGTGGATAAATCCAGTTGCTAATTTAAGAAGGAAAAATCTCCTTAAACGGTTGTGTAACGGTGCCAGAATCCCTGTTCTGTGGGTCCATGATACCGAGAGGGGAAAAGAGAGAGAAAGAAAAAAAAGGAGGGCAAAACGTCCATCTGACATTTTGAAATTTTTTTTCAAAAATCATTCCAAATTTTTTCATTCTATTACTTCTAAGAATAGACTAACATACACTTATACTTTTTCAGTGTCTTCTGCAGCTACAAAATTATAGAAATTTTTCCTTCAAATAAAATTTGTTCTCCATAGTGGGTTCTTTCATTTTCATTGGTGGGGTCACATGTATTTTTTTGAAAATGTTAATAGTGTTCAAGCAATATTGTGTGCATTTTCTACAATTTTTAAAAAAATTACAGAAACAAGATTTTCTCAAAAACGATTCCAATCTTTTTTAAACTTTGGTAGGGATAGTGCTAAATGTACTCTATGAGATGACATAAACACTATTTTTTTCTTTTATTTTTTTTAATTACAGAATGTATTTTTTTAAAACTTGTTTCTCATGTCATTTATATTTATATTAGCGGCAATTTTTTCACATTATTGTATTGATGAGTACATGTGCTTTAAATAATGTCACATAAAGTTTCAGAAAACTATCCTTTTCTGTGAAAACTAGCTCAAAATTCCGCATTTTCAGAAACTCTCAAACGCCATTTTCTGAAAAATGGCTCAACATTTTTTCTTCAAACTTTTGGAATGGATAGTGCTAATTGCACTCTTTAATATGACGTAAAGTTCATTTAGGCAAACTAGGCAGCAACTCCCAATCATAAAGGAGACCCCAGATTAGTTTTAAAATAGTGTTCAAACAAACTTTTCTCCCAGGACATGAGAATGTCGTTACCATGTATAGTTTTATTGTTCAATTTTTAAATAAGAGGGTTCTCAATCTTTAAAATCCCTAAGGCACAGGGTCTAGAAGTCAGGACTCAGCTGTATACACCAAATAATATTACATAAAAAGAAATGTTTGCTTTCTTTTGATTTTTGAGAAATTACTCAAAAGTTTTTTTTAAATATCTCTCAGGTTGTTAATAGTTATATTACAGGAATTTTTATACTTTATTGCATTTGAGAGTACATATGCATTTCTTGTGATGTTTCTAGAAAATTGAAAAGTTGAAAGTTAGAAATATTAGAAAAGTTAAAGTGAGTAAGTAAAGTTAAAATACATAAATATGTTCAAATTGTGCATTTTCAGAACACTCGTATGACTTTTTCTTGAAAATGACACCAGAATTTTTCTTAAATTTTTTGTAAGGATAATTGGACAAAATATGCCAAAAATATAATTTTCTTGAAATTTCTTGCACATTGTTAATATTTATATTATAAGCTTTCTTTATACATTGTTGGATTTGTATTTCTAATGGAATATTCGGAAACACTCAAACAACTCCTCAAAAATGATTAAAAATTTTTCAGTGAAAATTCACATACATGACCAGATTTTACTCTTCTATTATATTTTTAAGGAGGAGGGAGGGAGGCAAAACCAGAAAGCTAGCCCAAACTTAGACAGTCTGCTTTATTTTGTAGCACCACTAGTTTAATCTTGCCCTTTTTGTACATTTTTCAAGAAATGGCTTAAGAGTTGTTGGTTATTCAGTTTTATATCAAACCTTCTAAGAGTTACCAGTAATACAGAAAGTATGTGCTGCTGGAGCATTTCAGGTAATTTGGCATTGTAAATCAATTTTAGACACATGCCATTTACAGAAATTAACTTTTGTGGCTATTTTTTCTTTTTTTCTTTCCCCTTCGAAACTATCTTTCCAATGTAGATTTGAATTTTTAAACCACTGTGTTTATGGTACTTCTTTTTATGTAATACTATCCACTGCTTACTTATGTTTTGGTACTATATTATGAACTGAATTTCTAATTGCCCAGTTTTCAAAGACAAGCGCACGCCATCTCCATTCTCTGAGAAGTTGAATTGTGAGGGAGGTGACTGTGAAGCTGCAAAGCCTGATCATGTGTATATGGATGCAATGGGATTTGGTATGGGCTGTTGTTGCCTGCAGCTGACTTTTCAAGCTTGTAACATCAATGAAGCACGCACACTATATGATCAGTTGGCACCTCTTTGCCCTATCATGGTGAGTTTTTTCAGTATTATTATTATTAACTTGATTGGCCACATTGGACCACTTGAATCATTCCATTTCACTTTTGGTTTTTCAGTATATTAATACAAATGTAAATTTAGTTTTTGCTTGATGAAAAAAAGTTCCTTAGTAATGGACATTGAGTGTTTTTTGTCTTATAAAGTTTGTTTACAATTTGGCACCAAGGTATCTTCAGTAATTTCAAATCTATTTGAGGAACTCTGGGGTAATTATAATCTAAAAATTATAAATTTACAAATTTCATCATCATTCATTGTGAAAATGTTCAGATGAATTGGTCATGCCCCTGTATAGTTTATTCTTATAACATTCTCCACTAGATACATTAAGAACTGATGTCCATATCAAGAAGCTTCAGAGGCAGAAAAATTATATGTATTGTATCTGTACTGAATTCTTGATGGTCATTTACATCTTGCCCTAAGACAATAACAAGAACCTCAACATAAAATTCAAATTCACTCTCTCAACATTGAATTCATATTGTTTCTTTAGCTCATAGTTCAAATTAGCTCATAGTTGCTCATTCCACAAAGAAATCACAAAGGGGCAAAATTCACTATCTCAGACATGGTCATGTTCATTAATAATGCTGTATATCTTTCTTCCCAATGGAGTTGATTGATTAATTTCTGGAACATCAGCTGCAGTGGTCATTGGTCCTGTTAATGTAGTGAATATTTTTTTTATATTAGTAGGTGGTGGTGATCCTCCCTTGCGTGTTCATGAGATCCGATGCAAATGTAGGGTTTGAACTGTAAAACAATACATGCTCAGCACCCTTTCAAAACCAAAATGTCGGCATGGCTCAGGTCCATGTCAAAACTATCATCTATTTAACATTTTCTGCTAATTAGATTAATGGAGGTGAACACTTTGCTGTATTGTTTTTGCAAATATGCATGGTTTCTAGAATTAAATTGAAGCACTTTGAAACGATTTAGCAAATGGGAGCAATCAATTTTACTGTGTAGAAGTTTGTAAAAAAAATTACATCAACATATTCTCCATAAGATTTTAGCGTAGGTGTCCCTAATTTCGAAGAAATCACACTATATAAATGCGTCAGAAAAGGTTCTTGCACACACAAAACAGAAGCAGGAAGTCGGAAGAACTTTTGCTGCATGGTAGCAAGCAAGCAATTGATGAGTACATGAGAATGTGTCTCACTAGCATGAGATAGGGTTTACAAAATCTGAAAAGAGTTCAGGTTTTGATATGTTCTTCTAATAAATCCAAGTATCTGATTGGCTTTATTGTGTACAAAAATCATATGGTCCCCAAAAGATATTTCAAAATCAAATGTAACATCAAGATATCTAATGGTAGTAACTCTTTCCAGACGTAAGATGTTGATTACACTAATCCCCTTGATTAGTGACCTTGCTCTAGAAAAAAATAACAGTTTTACATTTAATAAGGTTTTAAATTAGACCATTATGCACACACCATTTATCAAATTATTTAACGACTCTTGTAGCCTTATCTTATCTTGAGATGACTTAATAACTCAAAACATCTTGATATCATCAGAAAAAAGCAGGTGTTCCTTGGTACTCTGCCCTTGACTAACATCATTAATAAAAATCTTATATAGCAGTGGGAACTCTGAAGGATTAACTTCTCAATGTACAACAATCGGCTAAGATGTAACATTTGCTATAGTAACTATCTGCAGTTGGTTAATCAACTATTTTTCAAACCATTACAAAAAGGGCCCACAGACCCCAAAGCTCTGAAGCTTTGCATGAGTATGAAGTGATCCATGGAGTTAATGGCTTTACTGAGAACATATAGTTTCTGTTAACCTGGAAACCGTTGTCCATTACATTGAGAATAAGTTTAGTATAGTACACAATATTAGCTTCAATATTTCATCCTCTTATAAAATCAAACTATCTGAAAGAAAGGGATAGATAAGATTGGTCAACTGATTGACAATTCATTGACAATATATATGTGAACGGCTTGGAGATAACATTCTGTATGGTAATTGGTCTGTAGTTGTAAAGTTTGTAGTCTGTCACCAGATTTGAAAATGAATAAGGACTTCCATTTTGATGGAAAAAGAACATCAAGTAAGGACTTGGGGGTAACTGATTGAACATTGTTCACAATAGAATTTTGAAATTCATTGATTGTGTGCTGTAGTTTAGACAAATCTGCTAAAACTTGAGGTTAACATCCAAAACCACCCTGGCAATTGTTGCTTAAGAATTTTAATGTTCTCTTTTTCAATTCCTATTTTTTTTACCTCAGAAGCTGACAACTCTGTGCAGCTGTAATAGTAATACATTAGAAATTTATTTTATTTGCAAGACCTGTCAATGCTGCATTCAATGATATTTCTGAATATCAATACAATTATTATACTTTCTGTATATACTTAAATAAGTGTTATCATGCAATATTGAAGAAGTTGATTCAGCCCTAGTGCATTACTTTATTATTTTGTTCCTTTTAAATATTTACAAATATTGAGAAGTTAAATTTCTATCACTTTGTTACACTTTTAAGAATTAGCTTCAAAATAACAGCATTGCTCAAGCATTTATTTGTCACAATCATGTAATTGATGGCTGATGTACATGTTATTGTCTGATTTTTTTTGCATTAAGATGTTTCACTCTAACACTAATAACCACGGTTTTGAATTCTCTAAATCCAGTAAGGACAACCTTTTTCTGATGTATGTATATGATTGCCCAAGCTTTCTTTTTTGCATAGCTGGCTCTGACTGCATCATCACCAGTACACAGGGGATATTTGACTGATGTTGACTGCCGGTGGAATGTTATATCCTGCTCTGTGGATTGTCGGACTACTGAAGAACGTGGAGAAGTTCCATTGCAACATTGCCGGTTTCACATTCCCAAGTCTCGTTATGACTCAATTGATTCGTATTTGTCACCTAGTGGAGAAAAGTAAGAATCCTTTTTATTTTTCTAAAATTAAAAATCCTTTTTTATTTAATTTTAGCAGTGGTGGATAATTTGAATGTAGAAGAAATCCTGAAGAGAAATGTTTCTGCTGTGTCAAATCTTAATAGGTATTTCTCCCTCTTAAGTAGATGTGTCACAACATTAAGTGGAATACCAATTAGTTGTGTTAGTAAATTTATAAACAAAATTTTGTACTTATTCACCTGTCTATTATATTTTATGAATGGGTTTTTCAGGTTTAACGATGTACCTCTAGTATATGATAATGAGGTATATCAAAGGTTGCGAGAAGCAGATATAGATCATTTACTAGCCCAACACATTGCCCACCTATTTATTCGTGATTCTGTGTCCTTATTCAGCGAGAAGGTTCATCAAAATGATGAGGAGGATACTGACCATTTTGAGGTAAATTATGCATTGTAAATTATACTCTTAATGTTGCCCTTCTCCTACAAATCCAAAGGCATTAGTATATGGCATTTCTTTTCCTTCAGAACATTCAGTCTACAAACTGGCAGACAATGCGTTTCAAGCCTCCGCCTCCCAATTCTTTAATTGGATGGCGCGTTGAGTTTCGTCCATGTGAAGTGCAAATTACAGACTTTGAAAATGCTGCTCTGGTGTGTTTCGTGGTGCTACTTACACGAGTAATTTTGTCCTATCAACTCAACTTTATTATTCCTATTAGCAAGGTAAGCAACAGAATAAAATTGTTTCACTATTTGTCACTAACGTTTGTCTTTCCCTTTTCTGATGTGAACTGCAACAAATGAGGTTAGGACATATAGTCTCCAGGCAGTTTATCAGTTAAGTGTTTCAGGTGGATGAAAATATGCAAAAGGCACAGAAACGTGATGCAGTACGTCAGGAAACATTCTGGTTTCGAAAAGACATAACAACATCTGTATCCCCACCTGTGGCTACATCACGGTGTCAGTTAAATGATGGTGATGTCTATGCACCCATGTCCATTGATCAAATTATTAATGGGAAGGTAGGTTTAACCATGCATTCCCTTCACAATCTTGTTTGTTGAAAGAAAAATGTGAAAATTAGTAGTTTACGAAAAGAAAAGGATTTGCAACATGTTAAGTGAGAAAGATTAATTTATTATGAAATACTAATTATTTTGTGATAATGATTATTCCTTCAATGTTCAGTAAAATAATATAAACTTATATCCTCAATACTGTTCTTAAAATTAGCTCTTTCAAATGCTACATTGTATGTTTCTTTAAACCTTTTCATAGGACGGTGAATTTCCTGGACTTGTTCCTCTCATTAATAGTTACCTGAGTAGTATGGATGTAGATGCAGATACACACTGTACCATTCAACAGTACTTGAAGCTTATCCAAAAGAGAGCATCTGGAGATCTCTTGACAACTGCCTCATGGATACGTCAGTTTATTCACAACCATCCTGAGTACAAGTAAGTGAAGGTGTCATTGTTGAAATATATAATTTAGGATATGATTGTATAAAATATCAAACTTGGTGGATATGATTAAAATAATAATAATAACAATAAATTAATAAAATTAATTAATAAAACCTGTAGTAAATGGCTCCATTGAAGTTTCCGAAACTTGATTAGCTGTTTGTTCAGTCATTAAATTGTTCACTTTCCATGAGAAATCCTTTCATTTTAATCACTGTTTTCTATTTTGTGTATGTGAATATTAAGCCTTTGTGTTTTCTGCAGATTTGATTCTGTTGTATCTGACCACATTAATTATGATCTACTGAAAGCTGTGCAACGCATCCAGTCTGGGGAGCAACCATGTCCAGAGCTCCTGGGCTGCTGTATCCAGTCCAAAACTCAAGAGAAAGTGCCTGCTGCTCTTGAGAAAGCTGAAAGTTGCAATGGAGAGTTGTGACTGATGATGCCTGCATAGGTCTCCAAGAGGAGTACAAATTGGCTCCAAACAATTTTTGTGATGATTGTTCTTGTGGTTGAACATTTTATAAATGTGCCTATGTTTTTAGTTTCTTGCACTCTGCTAATATATGCTAGCAAAAGACTTGTTGGTTTCTCTGGGCACTGTTCTCAATATTTTTCCATATGTAGAACTGTTGGGTAGATTGATGATGTTGTAGCCTTAGAGAACAAACATTTCTCAAATGATGTAACCTTTATTACTAACTGATTCAGAATTTGTCAGTGGATACACAAGACTATTTGAAATGAAATGTTATAATGTTATTAATCTTAAAAAATGTATATCTTTAATTCAACACGAAATGTTGCATATTTGTGTGTTTTATTCAGTTCCCTCTCATTTATTATTTTTTTATTTGTATTTAATTTGTGCTGCTACAGCCAGCAATATCATTGATAATGCCTGAATCTCAGGGAACAATGTATGCACACCACCATTGTATTTGTGGCTGCCATCATTTTCTAAGTTTGTTGTTGAAATATAATTATTGAATTTGTCAGAAGCAGCAGCATAACTTGAAAAAAATTTCACAAGGGCATCTTGTCAATAAAAAAAATTAACAAAGCTGTACCCAAAATTTTGCCGATATTACACTTGCTTTTCCTCCAATTTTGTGTTCCAGACTACATCTATAACAAACTTTATTGCATTACTCTGCCGTTTGTTACCAAACTTTAAACAGTTCTTGGTCAGAAACCAGAAGGCCGAGTGACACATAAATGTTAATATCTGTTTTGGCTATCAGGCGTAGGACTACCTGATCATTTAGCCTTGTTTCTTAAATGTAAATCTAATATCAAAAACATTGTCGAATTAACACTTTTTTAAAATTCAGGAGAAAGAAAATCAGTTTTGAGAAAATTTGTAAACGGGTCCATACACCTACTGTTCATATAGTAGATAAAATACAATTTTTGAAGTAATCAAACTTAGCAAAAACAAAAAAGGCAGATGAAATTTGTAAAGACATTTCATAGCTTTCCTGTTTCTGGTGAGAGCATATCACTAACTGCCCCATAGATGAATGTACTAAGGTAAAGATAACCTTAAAAGTTTTGAAATAACCTACCAACAAAATATCTTTTGTGGTGAATTTATGATCTTGTAACGCTTGATTGTTATTTTTAATATATTAATGACTTAAAAACATTTCAGTAAAAATTAACATAACATAGCAGTACTTACATATTACCATACTTCTTCATTGTAGTTCAAAGGAAATTTTCAACCTTTCTGTGGGGAAAAATTGATTCATCTCTTTTCTTGATTTTGTGGAGCAACAATCTGTTTGTACAAATACGTCATAAAAAAGATCTGAAGATGCTAAATACGTTTATTTTCTTCTAGGAAAATGGTGTGAGGCTTCTACAACTGGGCATGCAATTCATTATTCCAAACCAGGTTTTCCTACTTCACATGCCTAAGTCTTAATAAATATTTCATCTTTTGTTTAGAGAGGTAGCTACTTATTGAGTAACAATTTGATATTCTTTTCGGCTTTAGATATCTGTTTATATTGTTTATCCTTTCAGTAGTCAACAATTGTGCTCTTAATAACAATAAAATAATGCACAATTAACATGAGAAAAATGAGGTACCATCCAAGAGGATAACTTGTGATGTTTTGAGACTTTTTTTTTTAAACATTGGCTGTAGCAGTTGTGTTGAGTCGGAAGATGCTTTAAAGTGTTCATGACAGTTTGAAGAAGATATATAATCATCTATTGGAAGTTTTATGTGCAGGCAAGTGTTATTCAGTAACAAAAATAGTTTATGTAAACTTTAACCTGAAAAACAACCATTGTAAAACTTTCTTTGTACAGTTCTTAATAAGTTTTTTTCTATTTTGTGTGTAATTGCATTCCACAATCCAAACTTGTCCATCATCTCCAGTATCATGTTTTATTAATGCTGCCCTCCTAATATTTTATGGATGAAAAGTGCCTACTAGTGACCAGATGCGTGTAAATTGGAACCCTGTCTCAAGTTACCGAATATTGCTATTTTATAAGAATGAAAGAATAAAAATATTAAATCCAGTTTCAGATTAATGAATATGAATGCAAAGGAAAGGAAAAAAAATCATCAAGAATTAGACCAAGAGTAGACAGACACAGCTCTGAATGGAGTGTGTTGCCCCAGGAAAAAGTGTGACCCTAGTTGAGCTAAATAGAGTTAAAAGAACAAGTAGTCCAGAAATATAAGAAACTAGCATGCCCTTCCAAGAAACAGAAGAACCTAGTGATGAACAGTAAGATGCCTATTTAGTCCAAGACATTAATTCTTATTTATGTTTTGTCTTTACACGAGATATAATTAAATATATTTGTATTATTTTTTAATGATTGATTTAATTTGCAAATATATCTTTCTTTAAATTTACTTTGTCCTCAAAATAAGTCATTTACAAGTAACTTTTATAATTACATTTGCTATTTAATTGTGATCATCAGTTACACTTATTTAACAATATCTACAGAATATAGAAGTACATCCCAAATTAGCCTGCCTAATCAAATGTATTTATCCCAAGCTAACCAACACTGGAGAGTAACTTGGAACACAAAGTTTTAATTTTATTATACCCAAGATATTTCACATTAAAAAACAATTAAGCAAACATTCCCAAAGTACTGACTAAAACCAAAGTTTTGCAATTAAAAATGTCTCTTCCTCCAACTCATAGACAGGGTTAAACTAAAAACTTTAAGTGTTCCAAGTAATCCTCTTTGACAGTACATTTTTTAGAACAGAAAATGTAATAGTTACAAGGGTACATGATACACGGTTGAGTCAACAATAGGTGATACTTGATTAAATAATCATTCTCAGTTTTAGAGCTTTGGCTTAGATTATTCACCTTCCTTCTAAATACCATCGTAAAATAAATTTTTGATGACTAGGGGGCAGATTTTAATTAAATCTCATTTTTCTTTTCACTTTACAGAAATGCTGTTTGGTTAAAAAAAAGTGATTTGTCTGTTGTGACAAAAAGAAATTACCATTTTTATATGCCAGTTTTTTGAATTTTTCGGTAAATTCTACTAAAAAGTATTGTTTTTTAACCTTTCCCGTCATTTTTAATTGGCAGTTTTAACTGGTTTCATCAATTTTAATATTTTAATGGTAGTTGCTTGTAATGTAATTTAATTTAGAGATGCAACATTCTTCACAGAAACACTGAGTAGCCTATTTATTATCTACTCTCAGATTGTAATCACAGCAGTTTGCGAGTACGCAATCTTGGATATGACGCCTATCAGCGCAATTGTTGGATCAGCAGATTTCCGAATAACTAAAGATAAGGGATTTCTTAGTAGAGAACAGTCCAAACTAAAAGTTTAAAAGCTAAGTTTACTTGAACGTGTAGAAGCCTTGAATACATCAGTAATGCATCCAACGGCTTGAATTGATTTACGAACTGTTTTTTAATCACATTTTTTAATGTAATTTTTCTTTGCCTTTATGGTATATAACATTTTAAAAGCATTTTGTTGATTCATTTTTGGCGATGTTGTAGGTCATCAAAATCCGCTCCCTATTGATGATCTAAGGAAATATAACACCATAAAAACACAGTATGAAAAAACTATTTACACAACATGAACTTTATTCAAAGAATATCAATAAAGAAAAATGAAAAATGAATTTATACAAACAAATTTACATATAATTTACAGGGAAACAAAGAAGGTGCTGTATTACTTTTATAAAGGGGAGGGCCTGTCAGGGAAGCCACTTTTCTTTGAAATCACATAGTTAACAAACTTGTATTATTTACTCACACTAATATAAACATATATGTTCATGGAAAACGAAAAAATGTCCATTATTTTTTCTGAAGGGATATACAATCTTTGGCTTACAATGTGACTGACAATTCTGTATACCTTTACATGTTCTCATACAGGTATGTATATAAATACAATATGTATAAGATTGACATGAATATGAACCACTAGGTAGTCACTCCCTTATTCCTCCCCATGTGATCACAATCAAAGTGATTTTTAAATTAAACAATATATTCAAGCAAATGTACACCACTTATTCATTTCAATATGAAGTGGACAATACAAGACAAATGTATACAAAGCAATATACAGAACTTCTTTACACAAACTTATGTTATAATAATGTATACATATTTATAGAAATATAAATACATCTTGTTAAAAATCTGTCTGGTATTGTCCAAATTCTCAAAAACTCATGTCAATACAAGATGCGATGAATGCCTAAAATTTGCCTTGAAATATAACCAACCATTGTGTGTTGCTTACAAACATTACTTGTGTCCAACTTTCAACTCAAAGTGATACAAGAGCAAAATTTCAAGGCTGGTCCTTTGCTACTTCAATAATTAATGAAAATGTTAACACCATTGTTCTGCAGTACCTAATAATAGTAATAATAATAATAATAATTATATAAAAAAATTCTATACAGAACTGGTATGGCGTATATCGTACAATGACTCTTCCAGATTCTGAAGACATCACTGGAGTCATAATTTCCTAACTGTAAAATGAGGGCCGTTATGAATAAATAAAAATGAATTATGTTACAAATTAAGCAGTTATATCAAATAACACAGATTTTATTTCATAAGGATAAGTTATCAATATAATGTTAAAATGCTCTGTATCTCACTCAGATGAAAAATAAGGCCCCATATTGTAATTAACATCCTGAATGAATTCTTGGTATTCACAATTGTTTGTTCATTCCACAATGAGGTAAGGTAGCAGACAATATACAACAGGATGTGTAAATGTGGGACAGTTTTACTGAAGACTTAATCATATATAGAAAATTAATTCATGTCTCAAATAGAAGGAAACAAAAGCAATATAGCCAATTAATAACTTAATTCCTCAGAGCCAGCTGAACATGTATTTCACAACACTTTACTTTCTGATAAAAGAAATTAAGAAAGCTTTACTGCTGTCTGTAAGTTGCATACTCACCTTGCATACATTCGCTTCCATTTTCAGACTCAGAAACAATCATCATTGGAAATTGCATTTGTTACTGAAACATACTTTCAGACACAAGCAAAATTTCCAACAAAATGCAAGGTAACTAGAACTTCCCACATCATTTAATGGGAAGGTGAACTATACAATATAATAATTACTTTCTCTTTAAAAAGGCATATAAATGTTCAGTAGCAAGGAAAAACATTGAAGAGATAAAATCACTATTATATACATATGTGAGTATAAATCCTGAACAGGCACAAATTGTTTAATGCTTTAGTTGTTCCACTTCTTTACGAAAGAAAAGGGTTCACCTCAATCTGGAATTACTGTAAAATTTGCTTGTGCAGATAACTCTGTATCACTTTGTCAACTGCATTCAACACTTACCATGCGTACACACCTATCTCACATGAGGCTGTTACGTCAAAGGAAGCATGAAAGATGAACTTTTATACCTATCAGATATTCTGCTGACTCTGCAAATGTCACAGTGGTATTCCATATCATCACCTGTCATCGCTAAACTGACAATTTGTTCCCACATAAGTAACGCAAAAAGGGCAGGATGAATACTGTAAAGATTTTCTGTTCTATACAAATGCAACCAACTTGCTTTACTTTCTTGCAACAAATCACTTGTCATAGAAGAAACACTGCCAGCACAGTCAACAACAATTAAACACAAAGTAACAAAATTTTGCACTAATGAAAAGGAATATCAGAACTAATTGTTAAAAAAATCGAACTTCTCACTTTTAGGCTTTTACATGTTCATTTATTCTAACTAGAGAATCTTGTAAAATTTCTGCTCAGCAAAATTACATGATTTTTTAGTAGCTATCATGTTTCATAAAAGCTGTGATCCACATACACTTACAAAATGCCCAGTACAAAGAAACGTATTTTCTTCACTCTTGAGCTGCTGTACATACCCTGGGCTTCTTGCTAGTTCTCTCAAGCTCTCATTCTTGCTGTGTAGGTAATCTTCTGCATGATCAGTCTGTAGAAAGTATCATCAAAGAGAAAAATCTCTGTTCACATAAATATGGTACATATAAATATTTAAAGATAATAATAGTAATCAATACTTCTTTCAGCATAGGCAACACATGTTCTTGTTAACAATTAACACTAATCACAGCCTGATCATAACTGTCCTTGAGAACTATATGAGCAGCCTATACAATGCAAATCTTTCCATCATTACATGTTCTGATACCTTCATGAACTGCAACATTTCAATGCAACACAAATGCATAGAATGTGATTTTTGGCAATTAGAGTGGAATTGCTCTGCTTCTCAACATGATAAATCTAAGCCAGCCAATTATGCTTGAACATGAATGCCCAATATAAATAAATATAATGAAACATTGATTCTTGATTATAACTGTATGGAATGATTGCTTTCCTTTTTAAAAGAAAAATACTAGCACCCATATACTTGGCTTTAACCACAATAACAAGCAATTTTGGAAATCAATGTTCTAGATGAAAACAAAATTGACATTCTAACAAGATTAAATCTTTTAGAACAGCATTTATATAATGGCTGACAGTGATTTTTTTATAAAGTTCAATACTTTTATAATTACTTTTTTATCATAGAAGCTATGCAGGACTTATTTTTACAGGTTATTGAATTGATGTTCCAATTATTTTACTGAGTTATATTATCTCAGCTCTTGAATGTATGTTCACCATTCAAGAAAAAAAGACTTTGGATTACGCAAATAATGATGATGATTGGTTATCCACAGGTTGTTGTTGTTGTTGTTGTTGTTGTTGTTGTTGTTGTTGTTGTTGTTCCTGGGGTGATGGTGGTGTTGCAGGAGACTGTTGAGGGGTAAGCTGAACAGATGTTTCTGACAATGGAGGTGATTGTTGTTGTTGTTGTTGTTGTTGTTGTTGTTGTTGCTGCTGTTGCTGCGGCTGTTGCATCTGTTGTTGTTGTTGCTGCAGCTGTTGTTGCTGGTGCAACTGTTGTTGTTGCAGCTGTTGCTGGTGCAACTGTTGTTGCTGGTGCAATTGCTGTTGCTGGTGCAATTGTTGTTGCTGGTGCAATTGTTGTTGCTGGTGCAACTGTTGCTGTTGCAATTGTTGTTGCAGTTGAGATTGTGATGGTTGTTGCTGTTGTAATTGTTTCTGTTGTTGCTGTTGTATTTGTTGCTGCTGTTGCTGCTGCAATTGCAGAAGCAACAGATACTGCTGTTGTTGTTGCTGCTGCTTCTGTGACAACAACTGTGATGGTGACAGCTGTGGAGATTGCGACAACAAAGGTGATTGTTGTTGTGGTGAAGGCTGCTGCATTGGAGACTGTTGCAATTGTGGCTGAGGTTGTTGATGCAGCATTTGCTGTTCACTCAGCAGAAAAGACTGAGAACTTTCACAATTATCCAGAGGTAAAATATCCGGCTCTTCATTGGCACTTGTCTGTGTCTGCTGACCATTTGGACTGCTCATTGTTACTCTACAAAAACAAAATAAGTAAAATTCAATTACTCTACAACTATTATCAATACATCATTTAAGAAAATAAAAATGCTAATTAAAATTTTTCAAATTTATAGAAATAAAAAAAGGAATAATTAAAAACTGAAATTAAGTATACTATTTTGAAATTTCCAATTTGTTATAGATACAGTCTTATCAGAAAATAATGATTCATAAGATAACCATAAAAAAACCCTATATTTCATGTTTTTGAACAGTGTAATGCAAAACACTACTTAAGAAATACTAAGTATGTAATTAAGTTTCTTAAGGTAAATATTGAATTTTCACTGAAAAATTAGCTTTTAAAATTATTTAGGGTGACTGACCAATGAATAATTAAACAATGTATTTTTAAAGTTTATTTGAATGAGGGGGAAAAATAATATATGTTGAGCTAGCTACCTTGTGCTAATGGGTCTTTTGTTGAGAATACGAGGCGATGCCATACATCCTGTTCCTGGATAAGCAGCTGAGTAGGTATGGGACTTCTGCTGCATGGAAGGAGGTGCCACCTGTTGAGTCTGTTCCTCTGGCTGAGGGCTTTCTCCTTCTTCCGACATTTCCTCAACTTCTGGTTCCTGAAATCAACAATGTCTTATGATACATAATACAATGCCTATGCAAAAGCCACATTAGATAAAATAGAAGAATACTTGTATCAGAAGACATACATCATAGGTTGAATACCAAAGGTTTTTTTAAATTACATAAACATTTAAAAAAAGTAATGTTTAAAGCAGTATTATAGTCCTTTCAGACAATAAAATCATTAAACACCAAAACTGCATTTTATCAATGAGACTTTAATTATAAAGAGGACCCACTTGTTTTGTACATGTGACACAATCCTACTCAACTGAAGTGATGACCACAACCAATGGATTAATTGATGAATCCGGGCACATTAACTCCTAATAATAAATAAGTTTACGCGGTAGTAGTGCATGTTTATCATGGGAAGTGGCAGTAATCTTTCCATGCTGAATGATGAGATCTGGTTCCCCTACCCTTTCACTTATGGGTATTTCCCCAACCAGGTGCCTCCCACCAGCAGGGCAGCACCCCAGCTGGGACAAGTTCCAACCTTCCCCCATGTGTGGTAGTTTAGTGCATATAAGTCTTAAATGTAAGTAAGGATAGGACAAGAGAGAGTAAGAAAAGATCGCATGTTGTCCATGGCCTGTTTGTAAGGGTAACTGCCCCAGCATTTGCCTTGTGTTGCTTGGAGAAACCACGGAAAACTATCGATCAGAGCAGCCGGTCACTAGAATTCTCCTTCAGACAGTGGATGAATTCAACCTAACTATGAAGATAGTGTCAAAAATCCTGCCACTGTGAGGACTCGAACCCTAGGACCTCCTAGTTAGAGGCACTGCAAAGACAACAATTGATGCCCTGAGCCACCTAAGTTGGGACAACCCATGAATAAAACTTGAACCAAAAAATACAATGGCTCCTATTTATGATCATAGCAGCCTGTATCATGTACACCTGGGCACACAAACTTGCACTGAGTAAAGTTTTGTTTTACAGTGTGGTACAAAGTGAAAGTCGAGTACACGACACACTAACCTGAGTAAAACTAGACTTGTGAGGGTGCACAAATGTACTCATCTTCTCAAATTCCTAATTACTGCATTTATTTTGTTCTTGACAAAATTATGTTAACTATTATCACAAAAATGCAAAACGTTTTTAAAAAAGTATACAATTGATGTGTACCTCATATCTTAGGGAATTATATGTATACGTAGGAAATTTTGCATAACATTCCTTTAAAATGAATTTTATTAAGTAAACCTAAAATAGCAGTTTTATATCATTTCTTGGTTATATTGCACTCTTTTCATTTAATTTTAGGCTGCATAATTTTTTTTATTTTATTTTTTATTATCACTGTTGGGACTTGAACTAAAGCAGTTTAATGCAATACCCTCATTTTTTGAGGTTTGGATGATTTTAAGCAACAATTTTCTTGAAGTTTTCATTATTTTCAAGGTTTCCAAGATTGTTGGCCACTCTGTTAACATATCTCAAAAAATGCATTTGGAATGCCTGTATTCTACTTAAGCTGTACTTTGTGGGCACCCAGATCTCAGAACTGTAGCAGACAGTGGGGACAGCCATTACTTCATATAATTTTGATTGAGTTTCTCTCCAACACTTTCTTTCTGTTTTTCTAACTGCCCCAAAGAGAATTTGAAATTTATTCCCTTTTCTTTGCATATCAGCATATTATATGATTTTATTAATAACCGTTTTTTATTTAAGAGGACTTTTTTTAGACTACCACTTTCATTGTAATTATATTTTCATTTTATATACACCTGGTATTTGATTTAGTTTGCGCAAAGCTTTCTGCAGGTGCTCTGCTGGATGAGAACTTGATCATCTACTTGAGACAAGTGTTTAAATTCTTTTTAAGTACAACATAAATTACTGGACCTACTCCCAGGTATCAAGCAATAATTAAGGCATCAATATAAATATTAAAAAGACTACAGAGGGGCTGCATCCTTGCCTACCACCTTTGTTAGTACCAATTTCTTCTAAAATTTGTTGTCCTGAAAATATATTATATATTTTTGTATTTTTAAACACACTTCTTATGTAGTTTATAACAATCTTTCACTATTTCCTATGTCAGTCCTACAGGAAGGACTGTCACACCATGTTCAAAAGCTTCTTTGTAATCAACCAAATGTGGAAAGCATTTTGCAGTAACACATTTCCCAGCTTATAACTTTCAGATTTGATCTTGAAAATCATGCTGAGAAAACATGCACACATGCATCCACCCATGCAAGTATTTTATACATTATATACAAATAAACAGTAAAACTCCATTTATACATTTTGCACTTGTATGTTTTTCAAGTTTATATGTTGTTTTCTGTACATCCCAGATAAATTCCTATACTACATTATTTGACATGGATTTTACGTTTGTACATTTTCCCACCCTTATGAAAGTCCCTTCAAGACCGAATAATGAACATATGAAACTGACATAGGTGACAAAACTACAGTATGAAAAAATTGGGGCGCTAGTATCATTTGGCTTTGCATAATGTTCACCACCAACATAGCACGATAAAAATTCAGCGCATTTAAACAAAATATTGAAACTGGGGGGAGGAATGAAAGACGTTTAATGACATTTAGGTCTGTTCACACAAGAGTTGACACACGTCGCCTAGAACAGATGATATCAGTTGCGGTTACATGCATTGTTTCCTGTGCCTTAACGCACGTCGTAGATTAACACTATACCTTATGCGAAACACCATATAAGGGCTACTGGCGAAGTGCGTTGTTGCCAAAATTGTTTTATCTTGACTTACGTAATAGCTTGAGATGTGGGCATGCCGCATGTCAACGAGAATGCTTATGTGCCGTTTCACATAAAATAGTGTTAACCTACAAAGCATATTAAGCAACTCATGTGCACAGGTATTAACATATGTCAATGTAGTTGATGTCATCTGCGTTAGGTGATGAACGCCAATGCAATGTTTGTGTGGCAGGCCTAAAGAACTGGCTGGAAAAAGTGTGAATATCAGAGCTATCTTTTCCACTTCTTTACATTTGATTTAAGGTGTACACATGATCAAGATGAGACCTTAAGCCTTTCTGATCTTCACACAAGAGTTCAAGATATAAAAGAGAGTGAATAACTGTCAGAAGAGAGGATATGATAATTGTAATGAAATATAAAGCGATTCTTTGTGCATAAGAAAACATCTACCACGATGCGCTGCAGTAATCAGTGCCTTCTCATATTGTTTCCCTTTGCAAACCTGATAAAACTATCAATGGATGCAGAGTTGAATTGTGTAAGAAGGAATTGCTGGAGCGTTATCCCTGTGTGTTCAAAGATATGATTGATATTTAAATAAATCCAGAATCCAATAAGTAAAGAAATCTATTTTTTTCTAACTGGCCCTACATCTACAATATTGAACTAGAGTAGTCTTCAATAATACAAAGGATTCCATCAATATTTGGGCCTTCAAATCATTTAATGTACACTATTATTTAACTTTGACAAATTAGAAGATATTACAAAATTTTGATTTCAAATGTGGAAAATCACAGGATTATTATGAATATATTATAATGCAGTACATACTATGATATAGCTTTCGTAGATAGCTCAGCTAGCAGCATATGGGATTGTCACCTATAGTCGAGGTTTAGAGCTCAGCTTGGGTAAATACTTTTGCTTGTTTTTTTTTTTTCTCTTTAAACATTTTGTAAGAATGAATCACAATGCACTGTCTTCAATGGAAAAAAGCAATTTTTAACTTTCGAAAACTCAAAAAAATGTATGTATTTTTTCAATTCTAGCACTCTGTTTGGTTAAGAGTTTTTGAAGTTATGGCTGATGTGTTATGTTAGTAGGATATTACAATACATAACTGTTTCTAATAATGACAAGTAAATGTTGTAGCACCACTAGTTTATATTAAACAAACAAATTCTTGTAACAAATTTTCATTTAAATATTCCGAGTTAATTAAATACTGAACTGATTAAATTACGCACATCTGAAGAGTGAGTGAGTGAGTGACCTTTGTCGTCTTCTATTGCAGGAGGTTGAGTGGCTTATACAAGTGTTCCTGGTAATTTTAATATAAAATACTTACTTGCATTCTGTGAATATTTGTTCTCACATACCTCTTCAGGGCACAGCTCACAAGCCCTTTCTAAAGTTTTGCGGGCACTATTAGTTCGTTCCAGGTAGTACCCACTAGTTGATTCATTAGACTGAGCTGGAGGTGACCAGTTGTTGTAACTATACTGAGTATTGGAAGCATAAGGCCGCTGCAAGAAAGAAAAATTAGTCGAGAACATTAAAGAAGTGAATGGAAGAAGAGAAAAGCAAGATATCTTACCCTCTCTAATTCATCTTGAAGCCATTCTACAGCAAGAGTCCATTTGTGCTTTAGTTCACTGTTGGTATATAGCATTTGATGAGCAGCATGGCATTTTGAGAACAAACTAACCATGCACTTTATGCACTGGTAGGCCCTCTTTTGGTAATGATTTTTGCTACGTTGAATGGTGTCAAGTAAACCTTCTCGCTCTTCATGCACACCTACACAAATATGCTTCATGAAATCCTCTTAAATAGGCCAAAGTTGCCTAGAATCCTCCCTATCCTTATACTAAGAACACTAACTTTCATCTAAGAATGATTTATTATAAAACTCAAAATATTGTATCTGAAAACTCAACTATAATTTTTTTGTTATGCTGTATCTTGCATTGTTTATGAGCACGCTTACATAACCAAAGGGATCAGTTCTAGATAGTAATGCAACCTCAAACTGTGAAATAAAGATCACGATTTCAATCTGGTGTCCCTCACAAAGTAAGTTATAATGTTTTTGTAGTGCAGAATCACAATATATGCACAAAATGTGTAATCAATATGGTGTTTGGTTTGTGTACCAGGATTATCTTAATTTTGATGATGATGATACATACAACTAGCTAGAGCTGAGCCACTTAATTAGTATTCAAACTATTGTAGGAAGTGTTTTACAGCAGAATTTATTCACAAAAAATTTAAACTAAATATATTTACACAAATTACAAAAGTGAATTTTGTTTATAAGAACTTGAGAAAATCAAAGAGAAAGATTTGTAATTTTCTGACAAGAGTCAAAGAATAATACAACATACACCCTCATGAATTCAACTTTCCACAAAAGCCACAGGGAACCTGAAGTAGGGATTATTGACAATATTATGTCAAAGATATAAATTCTATTAGACTAAACAATATTGAAATTAGAAATTTGAAATGAGTGATGGGGGGACATTATAAATATTACGTGGTTTAGGGGGAATATAATGTATTTTTCAGAAATCTTGAAAGTATTCCTTGAGGAAATTGGTATGGTTGACCTAAATTGTGTGTTGTAAATCATCTTAGGGGTTAAAGAATTTCTGCCTGTAATAATTTATTAGAGTGAATAATATAGCACTTAACCTAATATGGTCGACACCATCAGGACAAGTACGTGTCTCTTGGTAACATAGACAAAACAGACCAAAATTGACCAATCACATCAGATCAGTTAGTGAGCAATTACTCAGAGATAGAAGTAAGTGCTCCAAGTTTTAGAAAACATTTTATTCATACGAAAAGAAGCAACTGCTCTGGAGTACTTACTCGTTTTTATTCACATCACACATTAAGCATACAAACACATATGAGTCATAAAAAAATTCTTCCATTTCATGAAAATAAAAGGTTTGGAAGTTCATATATTAGTAGCACTAAAATTAAAAGGAATCGTGTACCAAACACAACTTTATCTAGAATTTTTATTTTCAGCAATGCGTAGAATTATCGCAAGATACAGCAAAATAAATCATATCTCACTGACTTACCATTTAGAGCATTGTGGATACGATGAGTTTGCCAAGAATCTTCCATTAGCAGCATGGCAAACAACAGATCCATATGGTGACGCAGTTCATGGCAATATGCATATGCAATCTGCCACAAGAGCTCACTAAGAACTGTGCGCGAAAAGTGAGGATTCTCCCAAGAGCAGAATTGAAGTAGCTTTACTGTTTCCTCTGATAATGTTGCATCTTCAATCATTTTTTTTATGTAACTATAAGAATAACATATTGTAATTTGTAAAGATTAATGTATAAGAGCTATAAACTTAAATATACATTCATTCCTGATCATGCATTCTATTTTTATTTCAATATTTATTAATTGAATTTGACTACAAAATTTCATTTCTTCTGATTTGCTGATTCAGTTGAAGAAACTGCATTTTACTGCATTATTTATTGCAGTAAATCTACCACCAACTACTTCAGAATCAAATACTGTACATTTTTGTTTCAAATAAATTTCAAATACATTTTTACTACTAACATTTAATATCAATTTTCTGAGTTTAGAATTTTCCATTGAACAACTGAAGTGCGGAAAACAAGAAAAATATATATATATATATATATATATATATAAAAAACGAAATAAGGGAAAAGAGTGGTGATACAATAACACGGAAAAATAAGTGTTATGTACCAATGCAGAATGTATATTCATTTATTAACTTGTACACAAGATACTCGTAAAACAAGTAATACATATGAACAGGGAAGGTCGCAAAACAATGGGCATTGCTGAGCAACCATGGGTACACGGAGATTATATGTCATACTTGTTTAGCACAACGATTCTGCACTATAGTCACATTTAACGCAGATACAATGTAATGCTTAAAAGCAAGTTGTCGACAAAAATTACTTTGCAGATCTTTTTAACGTTAGCTCGTTCAAGCAAAACACCCCCAAGATAATAATGAAAGGGGACAATCTGTGATCTGTGGGATGTCATCACTAAGGAATGCAATTTATTGTAATAAAATAAGTAAAACATGTACATATATATGCATCTATTTTTTCCAAAATGTGTAAGAAATGAAAATATATAAAAAAAATAATTATACAGTTTAAAAGTCCTCTATACATTAATTTACTAGTGCGGGCCAACAATACTACAAGACAATGAACTAACGACGGGAGTGCGAAACAAACGCCTCGCCACCATGCTGTGAAGCTAAATGTGATGCCAATCTAAAAGCCCACCTAACCAGGCAACAAAAATTAGGTTGATATTGCCACAGTTCATAGTGCTTGGAGCACTCAGAAGAAAAAGGTTTATAATCAGGGTTAACATTTTACAGGATTCATTTTGCTACATGAAGCATGCAAAATAGGGATAATTCCTACATGTAGGATAATTTCAACCACAAAATTATTTATTCCAATGTAAATCTGCAAGAATGTAATGGTGTGTTATAGAATAGGAGGTTGTAAATGTACTCAATGTTTTGGTAAGCATCTTCAATGCATTGAAAGAATATACTCTTTAGAACAACTGTTTTAGGAGAATTCATAATGGGTAATTTGTCATATCCTGAGGTAGGTAGTGGTCGTACACTGAAAGAACATCTGACAGAAAGAGTTACAAACACTTTTTGTATATTTTATTATTTAATTTTAATTCTTATTAATTATATTTTATGTATTACGTCCGAGAATCAAATTACCACACAACTGATTTTTAGCACATGAAAATATTTTTAAAATGTTGTCAAGTGACAACGAAACCATGCACTCACAAATGCAATAATTTATATAAATGGCTGGTTCTGTGCATGTACTTGGCATTAGAGACAAAAATTACACTTGAAAAGTTTTAGAAAAAACAATAAGAATACAGCAAACTTTAGGTACTTTAAGTGGTTAAGCATTTAGCACACACTGTACAAAAAGTTTGAAGGAAAAAAGTAGTTTTTGAGAAACTGTACATCATTTAAAGCACATGTACTCACAAATGCAATAATGTGAAAAAATCACTGCTAATATGAATATTAATACGCGAGAGAAAGGTAAAAATTTAACATTTTTGTAATTTTGCAAGAAAATAAGGGGGAAAACAGCATTTATGTTATAAGAGCAAAATAGCATTTATGTCATCTTATACAGAAATTAAATGGTTCATATATGCTCTGATATATATGTTTTCAAGTTCCTCTTAGTTTGCTTACGATGCAATTTTGAGCATCGTTGACTATTGTTAAAATAAAGAATGTTCCAAGGAACAAATTTTTCTCTTCAGTCTTTTATTTTAGGTTGATTCTTGAACATCTACACATAATAACCGCTAATTGTTGCAACACACATGTGAAATTGAATAATTTCACAAGTCTTTACGACTGTTTTGACAAACTTTTCAGACACATAAGTTTTTATATGATTGCTTGGTGCAGTTCTTTTCTTTCCGGTCTTTATAATTTTCTAATTGAGTGAAATCCATGATTTTAAAAATAAAAATTTCTTCTAATGGATTTTGGGAACTCAAGAAAATTAGCCCATTAGTATTCTGTTTCATTTAACAGTATTTTGAAGCCATCTCCCTCCTCCCCTTCTCATACTACTTCATAATGGTCTCAGATCATCGTTATAGCTATCTGGTTCATTTTAATCCTTTTTATGCAATTGCCATGCTGGAAGTACTTTTGTATTGGCTGGTGTACACATTTATTTATTTTAATGTATTAAGTATCTTTTGTATTTTAAAATGGTGCATCTTCATGTGTTGTTTTATACCAAATGCTACTGTTTTATTATCAATTTATAACCGAAGTGATGTAACACATTTTGAAATAATTTTGTTGAAAAGAGTTGTTGATCACTGGTATCGCCTACCTGCGGCATCGTCAATGCTTCCAACATTCAGACATTTAAATGTTTCAACCAATTTTACACTGTTCTCTCTTGATTATCATCTCCTGTCTTTTCTTTTCCCCCATTCTTGTCTATTTAGCATACTGTAATATTATATTTCTTTCTTAAGGATATATTTGTTTTATCACGAACATTATGAGGATTGCCCGACCAGTTCACTTATTTTCGAAATAAAATAAATAAATAAATACATTTTTTGGTATCACAGACACATAAAATATTGATTTCTAACAATACATTGTGTGAGGAAGTAATTTAGAACATACTGGAACAAGATTCATCTATTTTTTCGATATCAAGGCTCCATAATGTGAGTTTTTCTGTATAAAAAATTGCTGCCACAATACTTTTCTTATACTACAGTAATAGTATGTAAGAAAGTAATAAATAAACTAATGGTGCTACAGAATGGCACAGACTTTCCCTTATTAGTTATCTATTTCCACTGGTATCAGTTAGGTATTTGGACTTGCCAAATACTCTTGCCAGCTGCAATCTATTGCCACCTGAATGGCATTTTTTTGAAATTTTCTTAATTTTTCTGCTTCCTAATAGTAGAATGGAAATATTATTTTACGAATACTAAAGAACAGTAAAACCTTGCCCTAAATGGCAAATTGCTTTGAAACATTTGGAGTGTATTTTAAGAAAATGTTGTACAAGCACTACTGTAAATGCAAAATTTGAACCTCTTTTCACAGAAAACTATCAAACATTTGTGCAATTTTTGGAAAAGAAGAAGAAGAATACAGCACAATTAAATCTATGTCATCTTAGACAGTGCAATTAGTCAAATCTGTTGGAAAAATTTGAAGAAACAATTTTCGAACAACAAGCCATATTTGAGAAAATGAGAAACCTTATGTGAGATTATATGAAGCCTATGAATTCATAAATACACGATTGTAAACAAATTTCCGCGAATGTAAATAATACCACAGTGAGAGAAAAATAAAAGTACATTTTTCTAATTTATGAAAAAACGAAAGAATAAAGCTCTATTGGTGTTTATGTAATCTTTTAAGAGTGCATTTACTACTATCCTTACCAAAGGTTTAATGAAATAGTTTGGAACAGTTCAGAAAATCTTGTTTTTGTAACTTTATAAAAAAAAAGTTGCAAATATTGCATGAACACTCTAAAATTTTCAAAAAAAGTACATGTTTAATGAAAGAACTTTTGTAGAGATCAAAGTTTTTTTGAAGAAACATCTATCTTCAATTTTGAATTGTTAGAAAGTGTATGAAAATTTTTTAAATTTTTGAAAATTCAGAGTTGAACCTGAAAATCATACCTACATGACCTTTATAAGTGTGTTTCACTCTATTCCTACAAGAAATTTAAGAAAAATTTGGAGCGGTTTTTGAGAAAATTTCGAAAATGTTGGGGGGGGGGGGGGTCATGTTAAGTACCCCAAATTTTAAAGAATTCTTTTAAAAATCTTAAAGCTTCGACTCGAGCCAGATGGACATGGGTTTCTTCAATTTGGAAAAAATCCTACGTATGGTTTAGGCTACGGTTTAGACATTTTGGAAAAAAAATTACCTAACTTTCGCAGCATTCCATAACTTTCACTATACTACGTATAATACTCCATGTATAAGTATGTATATGTCAAAGTGAAAACAGCAAATGATCTTTTATTGTAACTCAACAGAGAAATGAAATATCTCCTGACCCATCACAAAAGAATGACAAAGAAAGAGAATACACACATCCAATGTTCAAATATTATGTGTAAAAGCTTACCTTGTACGCCCAAAAAGAATTTCTGCAGCTTGAGGCTGGATGGGCATAAGGTACTCAGGACATGCTGGATCTCCATATGGATTAGGTAATGGAGGAACACCCTGGAAATTGATGGACCAATCTTTTATTTTCATTATACACTTATATTAATAATACACATGTTTCTAGTTTCTTGATATTGGTTCCCTAGATTTTAAGGTAAACATATGCACCAGACATAAGTAATAACAGATGAAGGATCTACTGATGCTGCAGGGTTTAGTTTAAAGAAAATAATTACTGTATTTACTTATAAATATGAAACAATATTTTTCTTGTTTTACATCTTTGTATGTTCTTATCAAGAGATAATGTAATTACTGAACACTTAAAAATACAAATTTCTTCAAGGAACCCATTTTTAACCTCAACCTGTTACATTATACTCTCCTTCACAACTATCCTTCTATTTCCCATTTAGCCAACCTTTCTGACATCTTCTGTAAATAAACAATAGAAATAAAAAATAGTGCACTCTTCTTGCCTTCTCTGTTCATGGGAGTTTATGAAAAATAATGAAAGTTGAACATTGCCAATGCAAACAAAATAAATTTTCCCATGCACATCAAAAAGGAGAAATAATACAACTAGAGGTAGAGAAGACACCAAGGAAAAACTATATCATTAACGAAGGGAGCATTTATTGAAAAACACAGATATAAAAAAAAGTGATATGCTTATCTTCTGCCATTGTTGTGGGAAACCTAAACAACTACATTAATTCTCAACAATATAGAGCACCTGAATCAAGTGAACTGAAAGCAATCCGAAGGTGGCGTCTCCTTGCGCCACCCCCACCCACTCAATGCATTTAGCCGCTTTTGCTTCTGAGCTACTTCAATATGAATCTGTGTCCGTGGTATGGAAGCAAGGAGATATATGTTTTTGCAGTTCACAACTGAATTATGCACATGTTAAATGACGTGAATTTAATTTTACTAATTGTTAAAGAATCAAAGGCCAAAAACGAGAGTGCAAGTGGAAACAAAACACTAAATGTATTTAGACGATGTCAGATGAAAGATAAAAGTAAAAGGACGGACTAAAAACTCATAGCGCAAACTAGTAATATACTGATTGTGTGGGCAAAATCAATTAACCAAATCATTAAGACAATTTTCTAGGGTATGTATAACAATTTGTGACAATATTTTAAATTGTAAGAATTTTCTAATAATGGAGGTGGATCATTTCAAATAAGGTATCTGAGGTTCTCAATAAAGACTAAACCAATAACAAGCACTTTTCCCATAGTCTTAGCAAAATTATCAACTTACACTAATTTTCCAAGACCAAATTAAGAAGTACAGACAGCAATGGGTGACACACATTGGAAATATGCCACAGGACAGACTTCCAGTGCAAGCCCTGAATTATAAGCTGAGAGGGAAAAGAAACATTGGAAGGCCAAGAATGAGATGGAAAGAGGATGGAACAGGCAATAGGCCTAATCCATAAAGGAAGATAATGATGTTGACTAGGGCCTGAATAATTATGTAATACTGTAATTTCCTAACTTAACTCTGTTAAGTCGAATCAACAATATCTTCATGTTTCATATCGGATAGTGCCAAAAATCTATGACTTTTTAGTACACATTTTATCCAAAAGTATGTATTTTGATTTGATTTGATTCCTCATTTTTTCTGTATGTTTTTGATAAGGAATCTCCCAGACAAACAATTCCCGCTTTGTCTAGTCAAACATTATTTTCTGTAGCCTTCTCTCTAATATGCCGCTATTACATCACATTAGAACGAGTCTGTCGGTATACACAGACATTATTGCAAATAAAAGGGGAAATTGACAACTCAATCCCTGGTTCCGGTGTGCTGGCTTTCAGTGAATTGCAGAGAACACAAAGGAAATTAGTTTTGTGAAAATTATACATTTAGTTGGCGATATCACACACCCATTTTGAATCATTCAGGGGTCTCCTTGACATTGATACCCTCCACCTAAAACTATTCGCCAAGCTCAGAAAGTGCTGTTGACATTTTTCTTTCTCTGATTGTCACACGTGAACCTCCATTGTTTGTAAATTATTTCTTTGGCCTGAAAATCTGAAGTAAAATCACGATGTGGCACTGAAGTTTCTGGATTAAACCTTATGGGGCAGTGGTAACGGAGTGAAAATTAAGCACATGCAAGTACGGCTGTTTCCATAGATATTTATTTTCTAAATCCACGATGGCAATTTGCAAATGTGTAATGTTTACTGAGAAAGGCTTCCCTTTGTATGTAAGAAATAAAAAAAAACAAAAAACAAATAACTGTAAATATTTTTGAAAAAAATGACAAAAGGGAAATTGGATGATAATTTTGAATTTAATTTGTTGTTGTTTTTGAAGAGCAACCTAATCTTAGCTGTTTTGAAAACATCTGGAGAAGTTCCAGTGCATAAGGATGCATTAAATATGAGAGTTAACAGATGTCTTATGATTGACACACAAGTATTTAACAATCCAGAAATTCATCTAAACCAGCTGATAATTTATTTTTAGTTTACTGATTATTTTGAGAATTTCATAGGAAGCACTTAGTATTTTCACACTTGGAACAGGAACACTACATATAAAATTATAGTAAATAAACGATATTAGCTGTCATACAGCTTACCTGCTGAGACTGGAATGACTGCATTTTGGAGCTCACATCACAACAACGAATAAGTTGTGACACCACCTGATGAAGTTTAGTAAGTTCAGGATATTGATACTTTATTGGAGGTCCAGGTCCTTCATCCATTGCAACTAGCATAAATGTCGCAGGAACATTTAACTGAAATAAGTCCAATTATTGTGTATTTAGCAAGTAATTTGAAAATCTGCTTAACATTTCATCTGTTTCATTAGAGCACAGATTTAATCACAATAAAGATTTATTTAATCTTTCAAGTGGTAAATTCCTATTAAGCAATGATAGAAAAACCTTGCCAAAATTAAAATCTCCAACAATGCCTGTTCTAATCAGAACCTATATTCAGTTAGAGAATCCTTATGTAGTATTCAAGTAACCTGCATCTGTCTGTTTGTCCATCAGTTACTGTTCGACTCCATGTCCAAGAATCAAGAGAGATGAATTGTCATTCGACAACAGATTTGATTGTGACTGACAAATACAATTTTTTATACCTATTCTCATTCTGTACATATCAACTGAATTATCACTCTCAGTACTGCTTATGACACAGTCAACATGCAACAGCAGGGTTCCAAGGAAGAGGTTGCCCATCAAAAAATATTTACCTACTCACGTGATGTGTTATGGAAGAGCAACTATTTTTATATATTCGGCATATAAAATAACTGTTGTACTGAGTATCCTTATATACTGCAGCATATTATTGCAGTATTTAAGAGGACAGTTTTCGTTAAAATACTTAATTCATTGCTCTTTTATACGCAATTATTTTATTTCATTCTCTTGAGCAGGGTACATGATGGTTTTTGGAAAATTATTTTGAACGGTACTGTTCAGGAGAATTCTTGCTGTTACAAGCCATTTACAGATCAGTTTGTTATTACTGTTTGTAATATTGTTACATGCACCCACAGAGAGTAAGAGAAATCATGGCACAATAAAACTCTGCAATGGTTGTTTTCTATTGAAAAGTTGATGTTACATTCAGAATGATAGTATGAAATTGATTATGCTTGAAAACAATGTACCTGATAAAATGGTTGGTAATTCCTACTATATAGAAAGGAAATCACAGTTTTCCTAGTGTTAAAGCATTAACATTAATCATATTTACTATTATAAAAATGAATGAAGGCATATATATTTTTTTTAAATTTTATTTAAAACAAAATCAACTGAAAGTCCAAATACCATTTATTTTCCTACCACTGACGTTACTTTTCAGCCACTTATGCAAAACACAAAATAACTGTTAGCATATTCCTCCTTCAAATAAGTATTACCCAACAAAACTTACCTTCAGAAGTTGTGTTCGCTCTGGCAATCCTAACGAGGCATACATATGAAACAAGTTGAAGTAATGGGGTAAGTGCCGCCCATGATCTGACACCTCTTTATGTAGCAACAAAAGTACTGCATGTAGCAAATGGTCACTTAAAGTAGCATGTGGATCCAACAGGATACCTAAAACAAACATGTTTACAACAAAACATCCACTGTAGCACTTATTATTATTTGTATCAAAAGGAACAATTAACTCAACAATCCCTTTCAGATATCATGTTATGATGATTTAATATCAGATATCATAAAATTAAATTCATTTTCTCAAGAAAATTTAATTAAAATTTTCCTGAATAAAACGAGAGTGAGAGAGAGGGGGAAAGAGAGGGGGAGAGAGGGGGAGGGGGAGAGCAGTGGGAGGGAGAGAGAGGTGAGGAAGAGAGGTTGGAGGGAGAAGAGGGGGGGAGAGAGAGGGGGAGAGAGAGGGAGAGGAGACGAGAGGGAGAGCGCCAAAGAGAAAGGGCGAGAAGAGGGAGAGACAGGGGAGAGAGAGGGGGAGAGGAGAGAGAGAGGGGGGAGAGAGAGGGAGAGAGAGGGGAGAGGAGAGGGGCAGGAGAGGGAAGAGAGAAAGAGGGGACGAGAGGGAGAGGGAGAGAGGAGGGAGAGAGAGTGGAGGGGAGAGGGAGAGAGAGGGAGAGAGAGAAGAGGGAGAGAGAGCGGAGAAGAGAGGGGAGGAAGAGAGAGAGGAGGGAGAGAGGGAGGGAGAGAGAGCGGAGGAGGAGGGAGTGAGAGAGGTGGCAGAGAGGCGACGGGAGAGAGAGAGGAGAGGGAGAAGGAGGAGAGAGAGGAGTGAGAGGGAGAGAGAGGGAGAGAGAGGGAGGGCAGAGAGAGGGAAAGAAGGTGGAGAGGAGGGGAGGGAGAGAGGGACGGGAGCATGAGAGAGAGGGAAGGGAGAAGAAGGAGAAGGAGAGAAGAGAGGGAGGGAGAGAGAGGGAGGAGAGAGGGAGGCAGAGGGAGAGGGAGGGAGAGAGGGGAGATGAGGGAGCAGGCAGGAGAGAGGGAGAGAGAAGAGGGAAGAGAGAGGGAGAGAAGAGGGAGAGAGAGAGAGGAGATAAGAGGAGAGGAGGGAGAGAGAGAGGGGAGAGAGAGAGGGAGAGAAGAGAGAGAGAGAGAGGAGAGAGAGAGAGGGGAGGAGAGAGAAGGGGAAGAGGGGAGAGAGAGAGGAGAAGGAGAGGGAGAGAGAGGGCCAAAGAGAGTCTATAGAGGAATAGAGAGAGGGGAGAGAGAGAGGGAGAGAGAGGGAGAAGAGGAGAAGAGAGGGGAAGAGAGAGAGGAAGAAGAGAAGTGAGGAGAGAGAGGGAGAGTGGAGAGGACAGAGGAGAAGGAGGAGATCCGGAAGTCGGAGTGAAGAGAAGGAGAGGGAGAGAGAGAGGGAGAGAGGCGAGGGAGAGAGAGGGAGAGAGAGAGAGGGAGAGAGATGGGAGAGAGAGGGAGAGAGAGCGGAGAGTGAGAGAGGGATGAGAGAGAGGGAGAGAGAGGGAGAGGGGAGAGAGACATCTTTTTGAGTTACAACACTTTTCTACGGTGGGTGCAAAAAGTTACTTTTTGATGTTATAAAATATTGTAACTAAACTTTGGCAAAACATGCAAATAACCTAAAAGAACCTTTTGATCAACACAATTTACCCTCTTATTTTCCATGTAACTCAAATACACCATAATCATTTTCATTTATTTCACACGATTTTATTGGGAACAACTGTCCATAGCTTTGTTAGATTTTGTGAGAATTTTTGCAGGAACTTAACAAAAATCTTTCATTTTGTACGTACAAATCAGCTCAACAATAATTATGCACTAGTAATTAGATACACAAACAGGTTTGTTTACCTGATGCTATATTGACAAACGATGATTACAAAATGTCTTTTCACTTTAGATGCAAGAAAAGTTATGAAAGGTTTTGAATTCTAGTTTGACTAGTAATAGTTTCAGCTACAAATTAGTAAACACTAAGTTTCGTATGCACCATGAGCGTTACTAGATGTTTTTGCCTTTCAGGCCAGAGGCACTTGGGACAAAAACATCAACTTAACACCCTAGAAACATAAATAACTATTATCCATCATGAAATATTCTGACTGACATTATAAAGTTGCAGTGAACAAAGAAAGTCATCTTAAAGTGTAGTTATAAAAAAAGGTTTAAAAACTTGTAAATATTTAAACGTGTATGGGAGTTAATACAGTGCACTATTAGATTCCTGGTAAAAGCTGCATGTAATTTGTTATTTTGCCTTTCTCAAATACGAATCACAATTCTTGTAAGGTATGGATGGCATGCAGCTGCCAGGTGCCTCTAAATTCCATGCATCTCCACACAAACTTCAAGAAAAATTTGATATTTTTAAAATTTACACACTACAATGGGATACTAGTGTTTGGACCGACCTTCATTCATGTTAATAGAAAATAATTTTATAAAGGCATTAACTAACTGAATTATGTATTGTACTAGGAAAAAGTGTATATCTATAATAAATGAAGTCAGATCCATAAATTTATACAACTGTTTAAAGTTACTTATTATCATTTCTGCTTCCATTTTTGAGTTAGTTATGCAGTTTGGAGAAAGGGAAAAACATTTTAACAACAAATTAGTTATTAAAACTTAGCATTAGATCTTATATAACCTGCATTTTATTATCAAAGATAAAATGACCACAATTCACCCATTAAATGAGAGAAAAATATGAATGAGTGACTGTACACTAATCAGTGATCACAATATGAAAAAAGTTCTCCATTTCTTAAACATCAAACAAATTATATAAAATCATTGAGTGCAATGGTTAACCTACTTGGAGCATCCAACATAGGTGGAGAACAAGGTCCATCTTGAAGAGAAAAGTGAGCTAAGAACACAATTATCTTCATGAATGCTGACCGTACCTCTGTACTCGGACAGCTAAGCAGGTACTCACAAAACCTATAAGACAATGAGGATTACATCAACTTTTAGAAATTGTTCAAGATTTCATTCATAATCTTTTCACAACCAGATAAACGGATCATTCAGCAATGTATTAATTCACACTCTTCATGTAAATCACATAATGTACAACATTTGAGTATAAATTATCAATAATATATATAAACAGTAGAATCCTTTTATAATATATATATCTGGGGACAGATCATGGATTTTTTATCTTGATCTTTCTCTCTTAAGAGAGAGAATTCCAACTATAAGTTCATATACTTTCACACAAGTTTATTAAACTACTTTACTGTTCCCAACATAAAACAATAATTAAACCTTCCCTTCTAAATTAAGGTTTTACTTTAGATGCAAAAAGAGCATTGTTCACCAGTTGATTAATAGGTGGATTTATTTAGTCAAAGAACAGTAAAAACTTAACTAACTTATGTGACTTAAGGAGTAGAGGTACTATCTGCGCACGTTTCCTTGAGCTAAAGAATCCCTTCCTAACATTTTAATTATAAACAGTTTGAAAAAAAGTGTAAAAATAAATAATTAATAATTACAAATAAATAACAATAAAAGTTAAAAAGTGCAAGATTA